GTGTGTGTTTGTTTTGTTAGCAAGGGATTATAAGGCAATGATTTGTTGTGATGAGCGATTGCCCGCGCAGAGTATGTTTTGACGGATGACGGAGAGGGGGCGAGACCGGGCCTGCTTGGGAGGCAGAACCGAACGTATGTAATTTGCAGCGTCCCTAAAACGACGCGAAGATCGGGACAACATCGGATCGGGATAACTCGAAATCTCTGAGAATCGGCGGGTTTGGAGGATGTATTGGGCGCCGCGGCCGCTCCAGAGCGTTCCGGAACGCTCTGAGAGCGCTCCGGAACGCTCTGGAGCGATTTATCCCGATCCTAGCCCTGTTTTAGTCCCAGGTGGAAGCGGTAATTTTGGGTTGGGGTGGCAGTCTGAAACGGGTGCCGTTTTGCCTAGCACGCCCTGCCTGTAAATTCTCTTTCTGCTCTGTTCCTGCCTGTGCTGCTGCTGGCCCCCCGCCTCCCGTTGTGCGCCTCAGCCGTTTCGGGCTCAGCCTTCAGTCTTGAAGGCCCTGTCGCAGTGCGGCCCTGCTCAGTCTTGGGGCGCCCCCTTTGCAGAGCCGCCAAGCAGGTGACATCGGACATACGAGAATTCAGCATAAATATCCACACTCACACAGCAGTAAAGTATCAGCAGTATCGTTTCGCCTCTTGACGGACAGCTGGTCCGACTTTGGTTTCGCTCCCGCCGGGAGCCGCTCACTGAAAGCAAGCAGGACTGTTTCAGATCGCAGGGCGTGGTCCACGCTCCGCCCGCAGTGGAACAAGATCCGATCATATTGGTAGCGCACGTCGTGCAGCTGAGTTCTCGCCGCGATGGTGCAGCAGGAAGGTGATGCCTCCGAGGCCTACGACGACGACGGTGGCGTCCGCCGCCGCTGGACCCGCGGCCGCCGCGGGCGCGGAGCTTCCGGTTCCACCAGCTCCGAAGGGCGGGCCGACCCTTTGTCCCCGAAGGGTGCGGCGCCGGGCGCCAAGTGGCGCGAGGGAGCGCTGCCAGTAGCCCCGACCTTCTGCGGGGATCGCTGGGCGGACCCGCGCTGCTGGGAGCATTGGAAAAACGCCGTGGACGCATGGAGATTCCGTATCGAGCGCTACCTTCCGCTCGTTCAGGCCGCGCTGCAGTTGAGGGACGCCATCACCGGAAAGGCCCTGAAGGAGATCATCTCCGAACCGCCCATGATGTGGGCCGACGACGACGGCGTCGACCCTTGGCCTAGGCTCGATGCGGTGGGCTCCGACCGCTAATGTGATGGCCGATCCATTCGCTAAGATTTCTGAGGCCTCTGAGAAGGCCTTGCGCAGTGGCTCATGGATCCCGCCATCGAGCAGTTTGCCTAGAGCAGCAGCGGAGTTTTCAGGCAACCAAAGAAACGTGCCAGTCTGAAGCGGGTGCCGTTTTACCTGGCGCATTTTGCTTGCAAGCTCTTTATATTATGTTCCTGCCCGTGCTGCTGCTGGCCCCTCGGCCCCGCGTTGCGCCGCGGCCTTTTCGGGCCTCACCCTCTGTCATGAGCGGGCCCCTCTCGCTGCGCGGCCCAACTCAGTCTCGAAGGCCCCCTCTTACAGAGCCGCCAAGCAGGCGGCGTCGGACACGCGATAATTCGGCATAGAGATCCACGCGCGCAGGAGTGACGTGTCAGCGATGTCGTTTTGCCTCTCGACGGACAGCTGGTCCGACTTCAGTGTCCCCCCGCCGGGGGATTGTTCAAAGCAGGCAGAAGTGTTGCAAATCGCGGACCGCGGACCACGCCCCGCCCGCAGCGAAACGAGATCCGATCACAGGCAGAAGGTGGTAGAACTCGCCCGAAAGAAAAACCCATGTGGCGCAATCTATGCGGCGCACAGCAATGCGCGGCAATGCAAAAAATGCAACGCGTAGCAATTGCAATGCAGAGGAACACAAATCATTGCAAATCAATGCGAATCAGTGCAAAGCAGCGGAAGGCAGAGCAAAACAGTACAAAACAGTGTACGTAATGGCAAATCAATGCAAATCACCAAAGAACATCAAATCAATGCGACGCAATGCACAACAATGCAAACCTGTGCAAATCAATGCGAACAAATCAAAAGCAAAGCAGCGCATTGCAACGCACTGCGAAGAAGTACAGCGGAATTCGCAGTAATGCATAGCAGTGCACACCAATGCATACCAATGCAACGCAATGCGTCGCAACGCAAGGACATGCAATGTAACGCAATACAAAGCACTGCAACGCAATTCAACGCAATACAAGACAATACAACGCAAAGCGCCGCAACGCAACTCAAAGTAATGCGACGCAAAGTGATGTGACGCGATGCAAAGTAATGCGTGGCAATGCCAAGCAATACGAAGCAACGCGTTGCAATGCAACTTAATGCAAAGTCATGCACGGCACTGCAAGGCAATGTAGCGCAACGCAATTCACGGCAAAGCAAATACATGCAACGCAGTGCAATGCACCAAAAAGCAATGTGAGGCAATGCGACGCAGTACACATCCACACAGAGCAACGCAAAGCGATGTTGCACAACGCACCGCAATGGGAAGCAGCTCAAGGCGCAGAAATGCAGAACAATTCAATGCAGTGCAATGCGACACAATGCACATCCATACAACGGAATGCGACGCAAGGCAAAGCAACCCAATGCACTGCACAGCAAACTGCGTCACAATGCAACGTATTATAACGCAGTGCGCGCAAGTTTGTGCAAACCAGTGCAACACCATGCAATGCAAAGCGCTGCGCAGCAACGCAGTGAACAAAGCAAACAAAGCAGGTCAACGCAGCGCAACGCAACGCACTGCAATGCAAGCCGGTGCAAAATAAGAAACAATGCAAGTCACTGGAATGCAGTGGAGTGCAATGCAAGGGAACGTGCTGCACTGCACTGCGACGCAAGCAGTGCAATACACAGCAGCGCATAACAAAAAACGATGCACTGCAACGTAGTAGTAACACATAATGCAACTCAAGACAACGCAATGTAACACCATGCAAAGCAACGCGTTGCAGTTTTAAGCAAAGCATTGCACCGCGATGCAACGCTATGTAACGCAATGCAAAGCAACGCGACGCAATACAACTCAATACATCGCAATGAAACGCAATGCGCAGCAATGCAGCTCGCGCCAAACCATGGCACATCAATACAACACAATGTGCAGCAACGATTCGTAATGCGAAACAGTACGAAACATTCACAAACAGTCCCATGCAATGCGATGCAATGCAGTTCGAAGCAATGCATATGAATTCCATGCAATGCAATGCAACGCAATACAGCGCAATGCAAAGCAGTGTGAAACAATGCAAAGCAACGCGCAGCAATGCAAGGCAATGTATTGCGATTGCAACGCAATGGAAGGCAACATGTTGCAAGTCCGTGCAAAGTAGTGCAAAGCAGTGCAGCTCAACGCAAATCAATGCAGCACAGTGCAAAGCAATGCGTAGCAAGCGAAGCAACGCAAAGCAACGCAATGCAGTGTAAAGTAATGCAATGCAATGCAAAGCAGAAAAAGCAAAGCAAAGCAATGCAAAGCAGCGGGTTGCAATGCACAGCAATGCAATACAATGCAATGCAAATGAACGAAAAGCAATGTCATGTAATACAAAGCACTGCAATGCAAGGAAGCGAAATGCAAAGCAATGCGAAGCACTGCGACGCAGTACAACACAGCGGAAAACAATGCAAAGCAGTGAAGAACAATGCAAACCAATACAAATCAAGGCCAAACAGGGCAACGGAACGCGAAAAAATGCAAGGCATGCTTTTGCAATGCAATGCAATGCAACGCGATGCAAAGCAGCGCGTTGCAACGCAAGGCAAAAAAATGCAACGCAAAGTGCTGCAAAGCAATACGAAACGATGCTAATCAATGCAGCGCAGTGCGACGCAGTGCAAGGGCATGCAAGGCAACGACATGCAATACAACGTAACGTTAAGCAGTGCACAGCAGCTCAAAGCAAGTCGATGCGGCTGCAGTGCACGACGGCGACGGGCGGCACAACGGGATGCAACTCCGTTCAAAGCGATGCCGGTGCAGTGCGAAGCAGCGCAGCTGCACTGCCCGGCGGCGACGGGCGGCCACGAGCGGGCAGGATCGTCACAGGGGCCCTGTGCTGTCGGCGGCGGCGGCGGCGGCGACGGGCGGTGCCGGGCGGCCACAGGGCGGACGGACCGACACTTCCTCCTCCTCCTCCTCCTCCTCCTCCTCCTCCCCCTCCTCCTCGTCCTCCTCCTCCCCTCCTCCTCCTCGTCCTCCTCCTCTCCTCCTCCTCCATCCTCCTCCTCCTCCTCCCCCTCCCCCTCCTCCTCCTCCTCCTCCTCCTCCTCCTCCTCCTCCTCCTCCTCCTCCTCCTCCTCCTCCTCCTCCTCCCCCTCCTTTGGAAGAGTTACTTTGGAAAGCGAGGCGAGTCCCCTAAGTGCAAGCATCGTTTGGGGAAAGTCCACGCAACAACATTGCGGCAACATAATAAAATATGGGCAAGAACGCGATGATGAAGGACATGACCAGTCATCATATTTTGATTATAAGCAGAAATGGATATAGTACGCGCAATTCGTCGAGCAACTACTACTCATCTCACCACTCACAACACACATTGTATTTTTGGTCGCAACACAGACGACCCGTAAGAGTAGGAATGCTGCAAAGCAAATCAAAAGCCACCAGGCCTGTTCCTCCAGCGCCCCCGGCAGGTCAAGACCGTCCTTGGCTACACCGTCTACCGCTTCCGGCCGCGCGTCATGGTTGTCCTGCAGGCGCGCGGCCGCCTTCTCCCCCCTCCCCGGCCGCTGGCGCACTCCTCCTCCTACAGCGAGGGGCGAGAGGGCGGGGGAGTCGACGGTGGGGTTCGGGGATCGGGGAACAAACAACGGCATGAGCATACATTTTTTGGAGCTCCGCGCGCAGCATCAACAGTTTCTGTTTATGCAGTTTTTTATTTCTCTATTTTTTGGGGGGGGAGCTCCTTCCGGGAGAGGGGTAGGCAAAAATCTGCTCCACGCAGCCAGGTTCGGTTCCGCCCTTGCGGTTCTCTTTTGACGAGGGGGGGATCGTGTCGGATCGATCGAGGAGCAGGAGGGTGATTGAGGTTTTCGGACGAGGTTGACGAGGGTCGATCGATCATGCGGAGGGGGATAGATGAGGGGGGAGGAGGATCGATCGAGATTTCTGGTCGCTCTTGTTTTTTGTTTTCGGGGGGGCTCCTGGGAATCTCTCCAGAGGCGGGAACCCTCCGCGGGCCTCGTGCCGCCTCCAGAGACCCCCACGGGACGTGAGACTGAGGAGCACGGATGAGGAGGGGGGAATAGGGTCGAGACAACGCACGCGTGGATTCGGGCGCGTGGATCAACGACGGATCCCGTTTCCATGCGACATCGGCGCGCTCCGTCGCAAAGTCAGGCGCTTGGGCTTCACGTTTCGGTGGATACCTGAGCTGGTGCCCACGCGCCAGATCCACGGATCCGAAATGCATGTCAGCATGCGCCTGAAGGGGTTGACGGCTACATGAGGGGGTTTGAAATCTGCTGCATGCAGCTGGTCTCGGCCCCACCTCCAGGCGCTTTCCTCGATACTTTGGATACTTGGAGCCTCCGGCACCGGGATAACCAGCTACGTGAGTCGAGTCGCTAACCCTCTCTTCACTATCTCCCCCGTTTGTTTTGGGGAGCAGAACCTCGAAGAAGTAACAGCGGCACAAGCACACGTGCTCGACGGTCCGCGCGGATTTCTGTGATCGGCGTTTTGGATTCAGAGGCCATGTTGGGGGTGGCAGGCTCGGGCGGCAATGCATGGACCCCAGTCGCCCACGCATCGCCGATAGGGGTCCGATAGTTGATCCCGCCCACGAGAGTGGGTTTCCCTACCGATTCGGGGATGGATGTATCGCCGATTCCAGGTCGATGTTCCCCCCCCCTCCCCCCCCTTAGACGGTCGCTTCCCCTCGTGGGCCCCCCATGCTGCGCTTCCGGCGCCGCCCCTGGCGCGCTGCGCGCGCCAGGGAGGCTGGTCCGGCGCCAGCCCGGGAAATCCGCGCGGGCCTCCGAAGCCTTCTATACTCACGTTGCTCGTTTCTTATCCGAGGGGAGGGCGGAGGGAGGCGACACGAGTTCGGATGGCGTTCAGGTGTCTGTGACACACGCCCGCAGCATGCCCAGTGCTGGGTGCAGCCTGGGCGGCACGTGAGGCGGAGTCGCGCTGCGCGAAAGCTTCCGCCGTCGGCGCACGGTTCCCGCGCTACGATGACACGGCCAAGGAGCTGCTGCGCGACGCCAGCGAGGTTCACCGACGCCAGACGCATGCACTGTCGTGTCTGACAGGGAAGGGGACAAGACCACCGCTGCGCCTCGCGAAAATGTGCCCGTGCTGCTAGGCTGTGGGCCGACGTGGCCGTCCCTGACGAGTCGGGGGCTCTTCCACAGCTGCAAGGAGTAGGCACCCCACGGGGAGTTCCTTCCCACGCTGGAGCCTGGCTGTAGTGACAGAGAAAGAGCTAGCCGTAAAAGGCGTCTGTCACCGATGAGCTGGAGGAGGGAGGATAAGCTAGGTGAGAAAAGAGGGAGGATAAGGGGTAGTGGGAGGGGGGAGCCTTTCTACATGCTTACAAACCTTCCTCTTCACTACAGGAAGCGCTCCGTTTGAAAAGCCACCTCTTGGGCCTGCCATTTCGGCGAGAGCCCCGTTTTTGAAAAGGAGCCGTCTTGCGTCCGTCTAGCCAGCGGTCAGGAGTACGAACAGGTACGATCCGATCATACAGTGAAGCGAGGTGTCCAGCGATAGCCCCGTTTCCAGAAACATAGCCCCATTGTGTGGTACGTAACTGCGTCACGTGTGTGCACCTCTAGTCATGAGCCCCAAGGATGGCTCACGCGAGAGCCACACTTAGAAAATGAGTTGCCATCCATCCATACAGCTGTACCATAGGTTCAAGGTTCTGGCCATCAAGTTCGAGGAAGTCTGACGCGGGGGCCCCATCTTCACAATGAACCGTCCTCCGTCCCTTTGGCTGTTGCTAAACTGGCGGCGAATGTCCCCTGGGCAGAAGAGAGAGCCTTGCTTTGACAAGGAACATCCCTCCATCTTTGTTTCAAGATTTTTCCCTGTGCTCAGGCGAGAGCCCTTCTTTGAAAGCCACAGTTTTTCCATCACGAATGTGCGTGGTGCTTCGGCGAGAGCCCCATTTTGACCCCTCCTCCATCCGAGCAGCTGTCGCAAACTTTGGTGAGCGATGTGCGCGGCGCGATGGCGAGAGTCCCATTTTGATCAGCGCCCGTCCTCTGCTGCAATTTTCAAGCTCCAGGATCAGAAATGGAGAGGGTGTCGTAGAGGGCGAAACGCCTGGCCTGCCTACTGAAACGTGTGTGGGTGCGACCGGGAGGAACACCTTGTAAGAAGGGATGGAGGAGGAGGAGGAGGAGGAGGAGGAGGAGGAGGAGGAGGAGGAGGAGGAGGAGGAGGAGGAGGAGGAACAGTGAGGAGGGAGGGGGACGAGAGATGAGGGGAGGAGTGGGGGGGTGGGGTTGGGTGGGGTTGAGTGGGTTCGCGTCATCACCCCTCCCTCCACCTCTTTGTCCCCGCCTTTTTGCTCCTGCTCCTGCTGCTGCTGCTGCTGCTCCTCCTCCTCCTCTTCCGCCCTCTCCTCATGAACAGCCGCCGCAGCAGCCCGAGCCACCCTCCTTCGCGGCTCGTCCCACTTCAGGGGTAAGGGATTCCGCGACAGAGGCATGATCAATCGCTCGCGGGGTCTGCCGAGCCCGTGAGTGGTGGTGGACGGCTGTGCAGGCGCTGGCTCCTCGCCGTGGGCCCCCCCCTGCAGCTGGTGATCGAGGCTTCTGTTTGGGTTATGTCGGCGGCACCAGGCCAACGCGCATCCCACCGAGCGGATATACACACACGCACACATTCGGGCATGCACGTGCAGTCCTATGCATCCAGTGGGTCCTTTGAGGTGCTCGGAGATTTCTCAGGAGTTTCAGAGCATCGGGGCGATACTTCGCCCAGGGACTGGCAGATGAAAAGGCGAAGATGACCATCAGCTCTTCCGAAGTGAGCCGCGCTGGGATAATGTCTTTGGTTGGGCCCGCGCGAGCAACAAGGCGTGCGGCGTCTCGATCATGCTCCCCGGGCGCCTCTCTCCGAAGAGAAGACCGGGAACGATTGTTCCCCCCCCACCGGCGCTGGCGGGCAGAGCGGGCGCCAGCAGGGTGAAGACGACCACGCTCGACATTCAGTTCGTGACCCTCTGCTTCCCTTACCAGCCGCAAGAACGTCCTCGAGGCTGTCGGGCAACGAAGAGCGGCTTCATCCCCGATTGCATGGGCACCCGCTGCGGTGGAGTCCGTTGGCGCCCGCGGGCTCCAGGTGTTGTGCTCTGCGCCCAGGAGGCGTGCCTGTTCCCCCTGGACGGGGAGGCTCGGCATGATTTTCAACGACGGGGGTCGGGGCCAGTCGGCGACCCTCCACCGCGACGGACTCCACAGAGGATCAAGGGCGTGGCCGCCTGCTTCCGCCGCCCCCGACAGACGCCGCTGGGTGTTCGATGGGTCCTCCTGCGCCGGTTTGGGCAAGAGGAGTGGCAAGTTGGGGGGCGGCGGGTCAGAGATGGATGCGTTTTCTCTGCCTGATCGGGAACGCTTGGAACGCGTGGCTTCGGCGCCGCAGGCGTCGACTGCGAGAGAGATTGCTTTGCCGCTGCCGCGGCTTCGCTTCTCGTCGGCGGAGGGGGGGGCGCGATGGCGGTCCAGGCGCGCGCGTCTTGGCGGCTGGAGAAGGAGGGCCTCCCGCGCACCATTGTCGACGAGGGTGATTCGAAGGCCTTCGCGAGCGCGGAGGAGAAACGCCGTCCTCGGCGCCTTCCCCTCACTCCCTCGAGGAGGACATCGTCTTCCAACGTCGTCGCGCGATCCAGAGGGGCCCGCAGATCGAGTCGCCGACAGGAGTGAAGTCATTGCGACCATCGATGGGGCATTTGGTGGGGCGCCCGAATCCAGCCGGAGCTCGCCCGTGCTACTGCGAGATGGGGCTCGCCAGATTTCGCGACTGCCGATCGAGAGCGTCGTCGAGACAGCGCGCCGAGGCGATCGAGGTCGACGCGGGCGGGGGCTGCGAGGGGCTGACGACTTTCGCCGACGATGGCGCGATGATGGTGCTCCCAGGCTCGGGGCCAGCGCCGCGCGCCGACGGCGGCGGGGCAGCGCCTCTCGCCGCCCTGGCGGAGTCCAGCAGTTCTGATTTCTGGGCAGCCCGCTCGGAGACAGGCGTCGCTCTCGGCCCAGGCAGGCGGGCAACTCTGGCGATGAGTTTCGGGCGAGACTGCGCGGCGCAGGGGGGTGGGGTGTCGCATCCGAGGGGGGCGCGCCGGGGCCGCCCGGGGCTGGCCAACGTCGGCAGGGCGCCAGGCCGTGGACAAGAAACAAACACCAGACGCATCTGGGCTGGGGAACACGGAGTGGGGCCTGCATCCTGCATCTTGGCAAAGCCCGCCGCGAGGACCAGCGTGCGGATAGCGATCACCTCTTTCGTTCAGTCTTCTTTCCTTTGTGGCCTCGATGCCGAAGTGCTCGGCTCGTCCCCCTGCAAGCAAGCGGGCCGCGCGCGCGCGTTGGCCGCGCGTCGTGATCTGGGTCTCCAGGACGCAATGGAGGGCAACGACGGGGAGATCTATGGGGGCGGCCGTCTCAGACAATTTGGGGGCGCAGGGGGGTCCTGCCCTCCTCGGAGGAAATCCGAGCGCGCCGTCTAGGGCGTTTTGACTTGGGCG